GCAGACAGCACTGCAATGACTATCCTTGTCCATTCCCCTCCAGTCCCGAGCAGGGATTTCTCTGAGACACTGGGGAGTTTGGGAGGGACTGGAGCCTGAAGGTCCTTCCTACTTCAGGTCCCCGTTCCAGCCCTGGGCCCCTCGCCTCCTGCAGTCCTACCCTGTTCTGCCCAGCCCTGCCCAGCCCTGGCGCGGGGGGCAGAGAGACCCTCCCTCAAGCTACGGAGAAATACCACCACTGTCACCTTGTCGTTGTTCTACAAGGAAGATATCAGTAAAGCTCTTGAGGGTGTTGCCCGAGGGACTCTTGGTCCACATAGTCTGCAGACAAACCCTGTCTAGACAGAGGATTCCTTGGAAGATGCAGCTGAAGCCGCCAGCCTCCCCTGGAGGATCAGGGGACTGATCCAGGCCACGGGAGCCACCTGCAGCCATGCACAAATGGGGAGGGGTTTCCCACAAAGCACAGCGTGAACTGTCTCAACGACTCCCCTGGCGCACAGTGCATCCTCGGTGTGTGCTGTGCTTACCCTGCTCTCCCAGGAGCAGCTCTCTGTGCACCGGCCTCTTCTGCGGGAGCCTCCAGGAAGCTCTTTAATCGGCTTCCTGGGGTAAAGAAAGACCAGCAGGGAGAGAGGTTGCTGGATCAGAAGGTGGGCACTTACTTCACTCCACCAAACACTTCTGATCACTCTCCAGAAAGGCTGCACCAGTCCCCACCCCTGCCAAGGGAAGGACTCCGTTTTCCTACATCTTTGCAACAAGTGGCATTACCCGGCTGCCTACTGCTGCCAGTGCTATGGGTATAGTGCGGTATCTCGTTGTCATTTTAATTGACGTTTCTCTGATTACTAGTGCATCTGAGGGTCTCTGCATGAGCTTGTAGCCATCTGGGCTCCCCCTTCTGTGACCTGCCTGCTCTGATCTGGGCCCTCTTGTCAACTGTGTCTTCTTTCTTTCCCCATGTGCTAACTAGTCTAACAAGTCTCTTCAGCATGCCTTTGTTAATTTCTGCTCTGACCCATTATTTACATTTCACAGGGTAATGACCAGGAGGTAAGTTTGTTTTCCTTATTTCCAAGTTCTCTGGTGGTGGGAGCCCCTGAGGATTTTCCCCATGGAGCACCCAAACCATGCCTGTATTCAGCTTTTCAATTTTCCAACAATAGACAACACCTGATGAGTGTCAGGCACTGTGCCAGGCTCATCCCACTTAATCTCTATAACCGAGGGAGGGACTATTATTATGCTCGAGTAACAGATGAGAAATTGAGGCATGCAATGGTTAATTAAATAGCATCTGCATACATGCCATACAGCTTGTAAAGTGACCCAGCTAGGATGCTACCTATAGCTTAAACCCATGTTTGTGTATCTCAGATAATGTCTACTTCAATTAACTGCTATGTTTTAAGTGGCTACTTCCTCAATGAAATTTAGGAATTATCATTCCTAAATATTGAAATTTAATGAAAAACCAACCCTGGTGGTACCTTTGCACCTTCTCGGTCCCTAATGTCCAAAAGGGTGCAAGTGGGTAGAGGCAGAAGGCGGGGTGGCTGAGCCCACCAGTCTGCGTTCCCAGGGAGAATGAATAAAGGTTGTGTCCACTAGGCAGTGTCCTCAAAGCCTGGTCCTCGAGGAGTGGCCTCCAGCAGGGGAGAGAGGAGCATGCTGTTCCCTTTCTAGAAAGGTGCTTCTCTCTCTGGTTCCCACAGCTCTGCTAACGGCCACGCACGTCTCTCTGCAGGTGTTTAATGAGCACTGACTGTGTTCTGGAGTATCAGTGATGAGTAAGCCCAGTCCTGATACCTGGGAAGACAGAGATGATTAATCACATTATAGGGGTATCATTCCACATGGAGACACATACTCTGGAGGAAGTATGGTTCCATGTGGGTTATTAAGAGAGGGACCTGTCTGACACTGGTGGTGGGGTCTATGAATGCATGGCTTCCCCCAAGAAGTGATGTTAGGGCTGGTAAAGAAGAATGAGGAGATTACTAGGAAAAGAAGAGGAAGAAATTCCCAGGGAGAGGAAAGAGAATGTGCAAAGGCCCTGAGGCTGAGAAACGCTGAGAGGAACCACTCAGTGGCTGGAGGGGGAAGGCAGGGGCTGAGAGGTGTAAGGAAAAGCTGTGCAGGGCTGAAGGCCCAGTCCAGGCAGGGCCTCCCGGATTGGGCCCTTCAGCCTGGAATGCTGGGACACTGGGTCTATATGTAGATTTGCCAAGCCATTGGGGACCCTTCATTTCTATATGTCTTCGATTTTAAAATTGATCTGGCTGGGATGGACCAGGATGCAGATATCAGGAGGCTCCTTTATCCCCTCCCCTCTCAGCAATCTCCTGTCTCCCACTGGGCAAAAGAAAGGCTCACCTGGTACCTAATCCGAGTCTGACCCCCTCGCTATGGTACATGCCTGAGGCATGAAAGCATCCCAGGCAGTAAACAAGACAATATCAGGGTCTCTTTCATCAAGGCTCCAAAAATCCCCTTCCATCCATCTTATTAAGTAATGCACTTCTAATACATTTTCCCCTTTTATGCTAATTTATCAAGATTCATGTTTATGTATGATGTCTTGATCATTTGCATACCATTAATAACTGTTATAATCACACAATTCTAAAGGGAATTTTAGAGCCTTATGGCCATAAGAAAACTTTAAAAAGTTAATGCATATTCATGTATTTGTTGCAGCTCACATAATAGGTAAGGTGATGAATACAGCATTTAAATGATAAAAACATTACAGTAGGGTACAATGCTGTTGGAAATGGAATGAAAACATACTTTGAAGGTACAAAGGACACAATGTAAATTTTTTGACTGTGAAAGAGAACCTTGTTTTTATTTTTAAGTATAATGTGGTGGTTTTGCATTTTTATAATATTTATATTCCATTGGGTATATTCAAAAGAGAGATATAATAGTTTTATATATAAAGGTAAACATATACACTATACCCCAAACGATTTAAATTTATGGTTAAAAAACTCATTTTAGATGCCAGTTAAAAACCATGTAAGGCATACATATTTAAAAAAAAAAAACCTCTTTGAGGGGTTGTCAACAAAAAGTTTGAAGACTCAGTTACAGGCCACGGTGCTCCAGGGGTGGTGGCAGAGACTGGAGGAGGAGGGAGCACAGGTAGCACTAGTCCTGGAGCAATCTTCCTGAGGCTGGCTGCTCTGGCGTTCGGTGTGGCTCCTCGCGTTCGCCGCTGTGATGTCGATACCAGAATGTAAAGATGTAAGCAAGCCCAGAGCAGGGCTTTTGTCTAGGCCATTACTGTCTCCCCAGCACCAGCCATGTGTGTGCCTGGCACACAGTAAGCACTCAACAAATACTCATGGCATGGATGAGTATTTCAGCTTTCACTGTGTGCCGGGCATGGTGCTAAGAGCTGCCCGTGCAGTCCCATGTAGCTCTAACAACCACCCTGCAGTAGGTCCAATTATTAATAGTGTCCGTATTTCAGAGATGGGAAGGTAAGGGACACGGAGGCTACATAACTTGCCCATGGTCACCAATCAAGGCAGTAGCAGGCTGGGACCCAGGCATCCTGACAAAGGCCCTTAAACAGTGACGCTTCTCTGTCCCTACAGTCCCTGGTTAGGGCCTGTATCTGTGGGTTCTGAAACTCTAGAGCAAGCACATTGGAGCATTCCAGGAATGTGACATCTTAACATCTTAAACAGCTTGCTGCCAGCTGCTTTCTCCTCCTCAGTGGGTTGCTTTCTCTCCTCCCTATTTAATATTTAAGTTGCACACATCCTGGGAGATCCCAGAGACCCGTGTTCTTGACCTATTTACCTATTCAACCATCTCTTCTCACACATGGGGGGCTCACAATGGGAAGCATAGGGGTCTCTGGAAGCAGCCAAGGAGGGAGAGAGACTAGGGACAGTCACTCATCACACTGCTGCTCCAAGTGGCCTCCTGCTGACAACCCAAGCGAACCGGAATAAAACAAGGTCAGACTCTTGCGCTAAGAGACTGTGACACGATAACATTTATTCTAAATGGCTTTCCAAGAAAACAGCTCCTGTTCCTGCAGCCCCTCGGAGGGCCTCCAGAGCTCCAGCTTTGTCAGAGGGGCATCTGGTTTTTTCTCCTTTGTTTATTAAAAAGACTTGGAAATTGCACGTGGACTCTTAGCCCTTGGGAGTGAGGATAACAGCTCCGAATCAGCCACAAACAGGCACCCTGCCTCTCTCAACGGTCTCTAGGCCTGACCCCCGGGGCACAGCATGGCGTGGGCAGCACACAGAGCCAGGGCAGGCTGCCGCCTGAGCCCTCGCACTAAGGCGCCAGACACTCACCAATCTCCAGGGTCCCCTGCCCAGGCAGCCCCAGAGGCCCAAGTCCCCCGCTCCCACTTTCTGACACCTGGACTCGAGGGATGAAACCCTCACCTCCCCCGACTTCCACTGTGGGATGACACTGAGAGGTATCTCTTTCTCCCATTCCATGTCACCAGCTTGAGGGTGCCCAAGGCTCAAGGCTCCGAGTGGCACCCTGCATCATGCGGCAAAGGTGGAGGAGGGGGGAGATGGTGGGCTGCAAAGTATTGCTTTCCCAAGCAAGAGAAGTCTCTCCCTGGTTCCCAACACCTATGTCCCCTGGAGCACTCATCCCACGGCTATCATTCACGTCCAGATGGCTCATTTCAGGGATACTGAGGCTTAAAGAGCCACCTAACTTGTTCAAAGCAGAAGAAAGCACTGGTCCCTGCCTCTTCACCTTGGCCCTGGCTTTCCACCCCTCGCCCGGGGCACCAGACCCCTTCCCTCTGCGCCCCTGCCGCTTCACCCGGCTCAGGTCCTCAGGGCGCGCGGCTGGGCCAGGCAGGGTCTGCGCCAGGGTGGAGGCGGAGGCGGAGGCGGGGACAGGGAGGGGCGGCCCCCCGGCGCAGCAACAGCGCCCCAGCCCCCCGCCCCCGCTCTCGCCGGCCCTGACGTCAGAGCCAGACGCGGTAAACTGAGCGGCCGCGGCGGGCGCTGGGGTGGAGACTGCGAAGCGAGCGGCCAGGACAGACGGAGCCCACCGCGGCGCGGGCAGGCAGCCGCAGGCGATCCCGAGGTAACGCCGACCCGCTCCCTGCCCGCGGGGCAGGGCGCCAGAAGCCCGGGGCCGGAGGAGGCTGGAGTACCCCCAAAGCGTTGCGCGCGGGATTCCGGGGACCCCCGGGCAGGCGGCGTGCAGGGCGCAGGGAGCGCGGGGCCCGCGGCGCGTTCCGAGGGCGCAGTCGGAGAGGTGTGAGCCTCGAGGGCGGCGGCGGGGCGCAGGGCTGTGCCCAGGGCCCCCAGGCTGGGTCCCCGACGGCGCTCGCGGACGCTCTTTCCCGGGAGCGCAGGCGCTCTTGGGGACGCGATCGGGGCAAGCGGGCGGAGGCTGGGGCGCCCTGCGCGCGGCTCCCTGGCTGGGGGCGGCAGCGTGGGGGTCCCCAGCCGTGTCGGTCGCTCACCGCGCGCCGCGCCCGCAGCCGAGCCCCGGAACCATGGCCCTGAGCGAGCTGGCGCCGCTCCGCTGGCTGCAGGAGAGCCGCCACTCTCGGAAGCTCATCCTGTTCATCGTGTTCCTCGCGCTGCTGCTGGACAACATGCTGCTCACCGTCGTGGGTACGTACGTGCTGGGCGCCCCCTTCCCCGGGCTCCCCTTACCCGAGAGCCCCCAAGAGCACCCCCTTCCCTACGTCCCCCTTCCCTACGTCCCCCTTCCCTGCACGCCCCTTCCTCGGGAACCCCCTTCCTTGGGCGCCCCATTTAGCGCAGCGCGGTCCTGGAACTCCGCGCTGGCCGGGGAAAGTTGGAGAACACCCTTTGCAAAAAGCACATCCCCTGCAGACGGCGGCGCCTGGGCTAGGAGGAGCCGAGTTTGTGGCTTCACTTTCCTGGTGGTCAGGGCAAAAACTGTGACATCCGATAAGACCCAGAGCTTATGTTTCCTCCTGATAATTCCCCGCTTCCCCTTGCCCACGTTCACAGTGATGAAAAAGATTTCTATTAAAGGGGAACAATTCCCAGAGTTCAAAAACGGAATAATTATTATGCTATCCGAAAAGGTGGGTTAATAATTTGGTGTAATATAAAAATACCAAGTCACGGTCCACCCCTTCATAAAAGGAAGTGACATTTAGATCTGTTGGATGAGTGAATGACTTGCGATGGAAACATTTCAGGACCCATTTCGAGAGCAATTTGAGCACTGTTGGTTTTCTCCTTTTTCCTATAATGGATTTTTGAAAAACGAAAGAATTGAAATCCAGGTCTCTTAATTAGCCTCATTAACAGAAAAGTATTTGGCATGCTTTTCCTTAAAAAGCATGTTTTTAATGAATAAAAAAAAATTTCATTTAGACTCTAAGTGGTGGTGGGTGCGAGTTCCTTTCTCCCCACGTGCAGGCGCTGCGGCGGAGCGTGCGTAGGCGGGTTTCACTCCAGGAGTATCAGCTGTGGGCCCATCTGCTTCCAGTAACACGGCTCGGTTCTCTGGCTTGAATGCTCTACTGTCGCACCTGCGCCCCGAAGGCTCACATTAAACAATTTTGCTTTTCCTTTATGGAAGTCTTAGGAATTCTTAAATCTTACAAGTTGGCTGAAAAATGGCAAATTCCCAGTCACATAATGGAAAGATGAAGTGGGCCTTTTGTAGAACTTCCAACTTATTACTTCCTGCATGTTTGTTTGTTTTTTTTCTAAAACACATAATGCAATTTAGATGTCTGTTTCCTTGATTGGTGTATTTAAAAGTCTTTCGAGCCTCTCTGAGAAGCACGGGGTGGCGCCGGGCGGGCACTGTCTTGATTTCTGACCGTATCTCAGTCTCCAGGGCAGTCAGTTCGGCACAGCTGCCGCCTCTGAGAGCAGAGGACCGCTCAGAGCCTCTGGGCGCTTTGTGTGCTTAGTGAGCAGTGTGGGCACCCGGCACGGGCGTCCTGGTCCCGGGGTAGATGTGCCACCTATCGGCATCTCTCTGGCATTTGTCCTGGATCGGGGGAGGGTTTCACGATGGTCACTGCCCTGCTGTCCTTCTCTCCTCCCTAGTCCCCATCATCCCGAGTTACCTGTACAGCATTGAGCACGAGAACAGCACTACCGAAACCCACACCACCAGGCCCGTGCTCTCGGCCTCCACCTCGGACAGCTTCCAGAACATCTTTTCCTATTACGACAACTCCACCATGGTCACTGGGAACACCACCCGAGACCTGCAGAGGGGGCAGCTGCGTAAGGCCACCACACCGCACATGGTGACCAACACGTCCTCTGCCCCTTCCGACTGTCCCAGTGAAGACAAAGACCTCCTGAATGAAAACGTGCAGGTTGGCCTGCTGTTTGCCTCTAAAGCCACTGTCCAGCTGCTCACCAACCCCTTCATAGGACTGCTGACCAACAGGTAGGGGGGCTTGCTGGAGGCCAAGGGTTGTAGATTTCTGTCATGCCAAGCTCAGTCCCCACTGGAATTCTGCTTATTCATTTGTCAGAGTCTGGACCAATTTTGGCGAGTGAGCTGGGGAAGGTAGTCTCCTTCCCTTTTATGTCTCTGTAGTCAGATAATCATGATTTTCCCATCCCCCCTCTGCTCAACAAGTAAGAAAATATTAGAGAAGACAGAATAAAGAGCATCTTCCCAAGCGGGAGAACTTTGGTGTGTCTAAACGCCAGGTTTCATAAGTACATTTGTCAGAATCACCCTTGGGCAGCAAGAACTTTGTAGCTGTTGTGGCTATCATCGGATTCTGTGTGCCACGTGTCTTCCTCTTGAACCCCACTCCTGGTCGTGAACTTCCTTATGGAAAGCCATGGTGGCTTCTTTGAGAGCCGGCGTGGTAAAGGCTCGGGTAGATGCCCAGGTAGGGAACGTGGGAAGAGGTTGGAACACTGAGGCATAGAAGGGACTCAGTCGATGCTGAGGTCATGGCTTTGTTCCTTCCCTTCTGCTGGTTACTTAGCTGTGTCCATGGGCACAAAGAGAAGAGAACTGAGGCTATTGTCTGAACAATCCAAGCCGTCCAGATTAGCTTTATATTAATCAGGACTTTCTAGATTTTTTTCCAGCACATACATTATTTGACACCATTGTTTGCTTCTCCGTTGTTGGTGACCATCCAGCAAGTATTTGTTCTACAGCTGAGTTGGCACAATTTTGTCTGGTCTGGGGGGGCTCAAAGCACAGGACAAGGAGCTTGGACCTGAGGGGGGAGGGGGCACGACCCAAGGGTGTCAGTGCAAGAAGTGGGAGCAGGTGTAGTCAAGTGTGTCGGTGGTGGGCTGCCAGGTGCATGGTGTAGAACCCCAGGCAGAAATGCAAAAATGGCAGAGAGGGGAGTGCCTGGAGCCCTACCTGTGGTCCAGGCCCAGGAGTAGGAACAAAGACTAGACTAGAAAATGTGGTGGGCGGAGGGGTGAACTGAGGAGGGCAGGGCTAGGCTGAGAGCGGACTAGGGTGCTGTTGTGGGGCAGTTGGGAGCCATTAGAGATTCCAAAGCCAAATTGAAGTCAGTGAGCCAAACACAATCTTAAGTAGGTCAGCTGGCATTTCAGGGAGCAGGGAGGTCTTTACATTCACCTGGGCTTTGGTGTGGGGGACAAGAGTGTAGGACTGTTTACATAATGGAGCCCAGTGCAAAATGAAAATGTGGGCCCCATGTTCAAATATTATTAAGCATTTCAAGACAGCAACAACAGGGCATTAAACCAAGCGTGAGGCCCTCTGAGAGCGGAGCCCTGTGTGACTCTGGGGTTGGGGGGGTCTGTGATGGGAGGGAGCCTGGGGTGCTGGCTGGGGCTCAGAGTGGGGATGGCAGATCTTGCCTTGCCCCAGTGGAGGCTGCGGCTGATGCACCCAGGGTGAATCGGACAGTTTGATTTTCTGGACTGAGTGGTCCCATTGAGTGGATTTTAACAATCCCAAGCCATGTCCAGCCCTGCAGTCTGTGCGAAGCAATATTATAAGGCTGCCACATAAAATATGCTAAGCAAATTAACCGGCGATGGGCCAACTGCTAGCCCACCTAGAAGCACCATTGTCAAGGTGACATTGAGCAGCACCTCTGTGCTCCAGAGGACAACCAAACGGTCCTCAGTAGTTGCAGGATTGTTTTCTTGCTTTCATCAAGACTAAGAGCGGTTCTTAAAAATGCATCTGGTGTAATTACAGAAAATGGCTCAGGGTTTTGTGTTCTGAGAAAGCAAACAACTCAAATACCATATGGGAAAATTGAGGACGTTATCAAAATAATATCTCGCCAATCACTTGGGCAGAACGTTACTGGCCATGTGGTGTAACACTTAGAAACTCTGGCTGAGATGATGTGAGTATTCCAATCTTCCACATTCAAAGAGCAAATGAAAGGCTTTTTACAAATCTCATTCTTGCTTTTAATGTTTTGCTTATGTCGTGGGGAAAAAGCTTGTTTAAAGCCAGCCAGACCTTTCCCCTGTTAAATACTCCAAAGGCTTTGAGGTTGCAGCCACCTATCGCTCATGTTTGGGGCTCAAAAAAATTTTCTTCCAAGAGAAACCTAATTTTGTTTTGTGACTTGTAACATTTAGTCTATCTTACGGTGATTAACCCACTTTGGAAATTATCTAGAGCAAAATTTTAATCCTCAGTGAGTTCACCTAGCCACACGCAAATTTTAAAATGATCTTTATCTTCTAGTGCTTCATGGTAATGTGGAAATGCGAACACATTTTAATATTGATGTAGCCAAGAGAATTGAGCTCTGTTGCTCCTTCAAAATGATCATGATTTGTAATTAAAAAAAAAAAAAAATTCCAAGCCCAGTAGATAGGAATTTGGGGATTTTGCAGCTCTTCTGGGCACTCTAAGACTCTGCTTCCCACCAAAGTTCTGAGGGAAAGAGTAGCAGACAAGGGAAAAATACATCCCATTGGCTTTAATAGTCTTTCCCTATGAGCCACTGCAAATAGTCTTTTGATTTAATCACATACTCAATCACCAAGAAAAGATGTATGACTTACATTTTCAGTGTTGTAAACACGTGTGTTTAAGATAGCATTTTAAAGTTGTTTAATGTGTTTCTGATTAAAGAGTAGTTAAAAACGTGGAGCATCAGCGCTTGCAGAGACTTGACTTTACCCAAAGCTTTTTGGGCCAGTGTTAGCATTTTTTTAGGCAAAGGAGTTTGCAGCTCAGGAGAAAGGGTTTGTTTGCCGTAAACAGCAGCAGGACTATAGTGAGGTGTGCAGACTGCCCCATTTCAAAGTCCTGCCAATACCCCTTCCTGTTCTTTCTACCTGCTTACTATTTATTGTACAGTTTGTACTTTCACCCACTAAAAATAAAGAATGTACTTCAAAATCTATCTTTCTTGCATCTACCTGGGCTCTTCCTGGTTGTACCAGGCTGAATTGGGAAAGGCCCAAACAGTGAGTGTCATTTTATCAATGGGCAGAGTTTAGGAAAAAATCAACTTGATTTTTTAGACATGGACCCTCCGTGGCCCCAGAAAAATACAGTCTTTTTCCAGTCCCTGATGTGAGCTGGTCTGCCTCGTATATCTTCAAAGGCAGAGCATTCCTTTCTAAAGGTGCTCTGAGTTGAAGTGGGACACCTTCTGAAATGAGACACCTTATAGCACACATGCGACACCCAGACACCTGTATTCGTGGTCATAATGGTGCCAGGTGAGTGGCTTTTGTGAGCAGGTGGCACAAAAAGGTAGTCTGCCAGTCTGTTGTTTTAAGCATTAGATAAGATCTCAGGCCAAATCCTGAAAATACAAAGTACCAATTCTTAGAAGTGTTTCTTTGTTCATTTGGCTGGTAATACCATACTCATTATTCCTGCTTATTCTTCAAGTGCTATATTTTTTACTGAAAATACATGACCAGATACAGGACCTTTGATTTTGGTAGTGGAGTGATAACACATTCAATAACACTTTCCAAAGCCCAAGGATGCCTTTGTTGACCGGATTTCCATCTTGGAGGCGTTTGTGATTTACAATTATAGCCCAACTATTCATTTCACAGTTGCAGTTGTGTCTAAAAGGTGGTAGCGGGAATTGTACCAGTGACACCTGTCATCATTTGGTCTGATCAGTGAATTTAAGACATATGTGTACATAAAAGGAATGTTCCAGGCAAATAAACCATGTGAAGACATGTTTACGTTTCCTCCTTCTGTCAATAAGGTAAAGACGTGGCATCGTGGTCTTCACCTGCTTAGCATGAGGTCCAAACAGTCAGTTGCTTCTTCAGAACCAAAAGATACTCCTTTCTTAACTGCTGGCTGGGGAAAGCGTTAACTCCGTTGCTGGGGGCGCCTCCCTTAGCTTCCTCCTCAGCTTGTCACTTGTCTCGGTGGTGATCTGCTTTTCATCAAGCCATCTTTAGTGTGGCTTAATTTATTTCCATAGTTACCTGGTATGTTTGAAAGCAGTTCTTTTTCCTCCTAGATCTTAGCATCTGAATGGCAGGGAGGAAGCCACAGGGCATGAAATCTGTAGGAAATCCACCGTGCTTATCTTTTTCCTAGCTTCAGCCAGTTGGTCTCAAGTGGGCTTTAAGGGAATAAGCACAGTGACCTTTTCAGCTTCTCCGTGGACAGGGAAACCAGCTGTTCTGAAAAGGGATCTCCCAACTTAGATGTCGCTGGGCTGGTAGGGAGGGTTCGATGAGTCTTTGCTTCTGAAATCAGAAGGAAATGGCAGTGGAATTACAGCGTCTCCTGTGGGAACTGAGGCTCCGCGTGGGCTGAGAAGAGACCAGGGCTTACGCCCAGGAGGGTGGGAAATCTCTGGCCCACGGAGCTCCCTCTTGGCAGACAAGGACAGGCAGACCCGGGGGGTAGGGGGGGCTAAACCTAAGAATTTTGTTTTACTAAATGATTGGCAAACTTCCTATTGTATCTGAGCAACTTTAAAATATTACTCTGTTTACCGGCATTCACTTACTGGACCAACTTTAGGAGTGTGCAGAGAGCACTGCAAGGGAACCGGTAGCTCTCATCACAGCTGGTGGTGGTCGCAGCCTACTGGGCCCCCAACTGTTCCTCCTTTTTGTCATGTACCACCGTAGAGGGACCTGTGGTCTCAGCAGTCCTGAGAACAGAGCTTGCATTTATCTCTATGGCAAAGATAAGCTATTAGCATCAGAGAAAAAGTATTATTGCCAGTGACCATTGAGGGACATGTGGGTTTCCTCACTGACTATCAGGTATGTATAATTAACATTGTTTTAGGTGTTCTTCTAGGGATTAAATATATGATTTTCAGTCTTACTCAGATTGGATTAACTGCTCCCGGATGCTCTATGCAGGATGTCCGGGTGACTCACACGGGGGACAGTAATGGGATGTTTGGTTAAAGGTTTGTGAATCAGATCTAGCTGTGCTTATCAGCGCTATGCTTGATGGCACAGAATTGAGCCAAGAGGGCCAACTCGCACGTAGATTATGACGTAACATCAGTTGAGCTTGTCCATTTAAGAGCTGCTGTGGGGAAGAAGAAAGGGCCTTAGCCTCCTGTCCAGCTTTGCCATTTGGTTATCCCATACATGGTGTGTTAAAATCCCAAAGGAACCGAGGGGGGGGGGTGACCCCATGGTAGCTGCAGAATTTCTAAAGCAAACACAGGATCTGCGATGGGAAAAAGAACTATCTTTTGATGCACCAGCCTGTGGTTTTCAGTGAGACCGTGCACCCTCCATCCCACGTGCTCCTGTGACTGGCATCCCCACCCAAGTGTATGCCAGCAGGGCCCAGCACATGGTAAACACTCGAGGTATGCCCGTCACCTTGGAATTGGGGCAAGTTTCTTACTTTCCCTGAGCCTCACCGTTGACCATCTGAAAAACATGGCCACCCTGAGCGCTGGCTCCAACCCCCAGTCACAGAGAACGCCAGAGTCTTCTGGTGGGGTAGGGGCGCAGTGGCTGCCAGGCCATCCCAACTGGTGCCAGGGTACCTTGGCCACCAGCTGGACTGCAGACTGGTAGTTTGGGGGTCACAGAGGGGTTATTGAATTTTATTGAGTTTTGCCCCAAAACTATCTTGTGCTTCTGCCTGCAGTCTGCAGAGGGGCCACAGGTGTCTTCTTTGGCTGCAGGGATGTCCCTGGTGGCCAGAGGGCTTAGAGCCTGAGAAGTCAGCACAATGAAGAACTAGTGAAGGAAGAGTTAAGCCCCCAATTCCAGCTTTGACACGTATATTGGCACTTTGCCTTCTAGATTTTCCAAATATGTGTTGAAGGGAGTGAGAAGCCTGTGTTTGTTCCAGGGCAGCCAGGAATGTCGTCCTGTGTCCATTGTTTCACAAACTGCCTGTTAGTTCTCTCTGCGCCTCCCGGACGTTTCCGTGTGCAATGCCTGGCAGTGCTGTTTAAGCCCTGGAGTTGGCTTCTGCTGTCTACATGAGTAAGGAGCACAGAATGGTCAGCTGGCACAGGCTGAGAGGGGACACGGCAATCCATGGCCATCTGAACTGCATCTCAGGTCCCTGTGTCCTTCTTGGTTCACCTGATTTGCTGGATCCCCCTTTGTGAACTCTAAGCTCATTTCCATTCACAGTAAGGGGCTCTTTGCATGGTTTGTGGGAGGGGGACTGACTGCCTGGGAATGTGTCATAATTTTGAGATTCTATTAATATTTGCATTTTGGTATTTGGTTTCTGGATGCATGTGAAGCAGTTTTTTTATTTTAAATATGAGCAGGAGAACTTTTGGCAAGGAAAAGCCCTGGACTGGAGGGAACGGCCCAAGTGAAGTTACCCTGATGACATTTGACAAGTCACTTTTTCATGCCTCACTTTCCTCCTTTGTAGAATAGGGAAGTGAAATAGGGCCCTTATCAAATCATTGAGGTGGGATGTAAGGGCTGGGGGAGTTGAGTGTAACCTTTAGATGAAAGTGCTGTGATCGTGATTCTTTTATTGAAGCCTGGAATAGAAGAGTCCTTCCAGGCTGTGCCTGGGACTCAGGTTGCTTGGTCCTCCTGCCTTCTTGGATTCAGTTTGTTCCTCTCCAGGTTCCCCAGGGACCTGGAATGGGGAGAGAAGAGGCTTGGAGATGTCCTGAGCTCTTCCTGGAGCAAGCCTGCAGTTGGGTGATAGCTCAGCCAGTGTTGGCCCCTTTCAAGCGGAGGAAGCTGCCTGCACCCTCGTGCTTGCCTGCAGAGTGGGGCCCAAGCTGTCTGCTTAGTCTGGCAGGAACAGAGGAAAAGGAGGAAAAGAACGAGGGAGATAAAATAAAATTTCCGAGGCACCTTCTGTGCTCTGGGTACCCTATAGACAGTCTGATGTCCACATCTCTTTCTGCACTCCAGTCCTGGGAGGTGGGCGGTGGTCTCTCAGTGGGGCTGAGAGGAGACTTCCCTGGGGTAGGTGGCAGGGCCGGGTGTCCCACCAGACGTGTGAATACAGGAAGGCTGAGGTCTTCCCACCAGCCCTGATGGGCAGTGGTCTGTAAGATCAATTTGCATTTTGAAATTTTGCGCAGAAAATGAGGCCTTTATTATTTTTTCTTTTTTTCCTTTTTATGTTATTGAGGTGGGGGCTGTAACATTAAGGGGGGATGGGCCTACCCACCTTCTCTCTTGAGAGGGAGGGAGGGGGGATGGGCTCCAGAGCCACCTTGCCACAAGTCCTTCCCACCTGCCACTTGTTGGGGAGCGGTCACCTGCCTGCCCACCCACCCCCAAGTCCTGTCTTTCTGGGCTGGCCTCACTGGGCTCGACAGGAAAGCAGATTTAAGAGTCTTGCTTCCTAATGCCTCCTAGACATAGTGCAGTTGTCTTTGCTGCTAGTTGAATCACTTGATGGCCTTTTACCAGAATCATTTGATTGCAGTTGTTCCTTTGGGAAAGCTCTAGCAGAGACTATAATTAAAGGAATAATAAAAACATGACGGAAATAGGGGCCGTGTATTTCGGATGTGCTCTGAGTTACTTTGCCAATATTGTGTTAACATTTATTCCAGAGAAATTTCAGTTCGGAGTGGCAGTCCATAAATGTATTCACGTTCCAAGACAGTCAAACACAAAAAGGTCAGGCAGGAAGCACTAAGTCTATGAATTTTTATAAAAATCCACCAAATACTTATCTGCCTGATCCCAGAGGGTAACCAGAAAAGAGTCAATATAAAGCCTTAAAAAAAATACCCAGCGGTCACCAGACTCTTCTTGTGTTTGTGTCTTGCAGAATCGGCTACCCAATTCCCATGTTTGCAGGATTCTGCATCATGTTCGTCTCAACAATTAGTAAGTGTCTGATGTTTGCCCTGTGAGTGTGGGTCTCAGGATGGGCGCTGACGCCCATGAGCCAAAAACTAAGCATGCAACCTGGGGCTTTGTGTACTGGCAACAGTTGCAGAAAGAGTTGGTAGAGAGAGAGGTCTCCCTGGAGCAAAAGCACCCGCTGGTGAAGGTGGTGATGCTCCATCCAGTTAAGGGAGGGCTTCAGAAATGTCCCTGTTTGGGACAGTTCAGTCCCAAGGCACTGACGTGGGGCCTGGGCCTGTTCTCTCGCAGTGTTCGCCTTCTCCAGCAGCTACGCCTTCCTGCTGATCGCCAGGTCCCTGCAGGGCGTGGGCTCCTCCTGCTCCTCTGTGGCTGGTAGGTGCGGGCAGGCCCGAGCCAAAGATGGGGGAGGGGCTTCCCTGACAAAGTCAGCTGGGCTAATTGAGGAATCGGGTAGTGGGGTGGCAGTGGTTGGGAGGGTGAGGATTCTTGGAGATGGTCCCCACCTGGGTCTTGGGTTCTGCTTGCTCTTATATTTTATTTAGTGAATCTGACGGGTTCAGGAAGATCGAGTGAGTCTGGCTGCAGAGGGAAGTCGAGTCACAGACTATTCTGTTTCCCAGGCTCAGCTGTTGACCATCTCTCTCTCCCTGTCTAGGTATGGGCATGCTCGCCAGCGTGTACACAGATGACGAAGAGAGAGGCAACGCCATGGGGATCGCCTTGGGAGGCCTGGCCATGGGGGTCTTAGGTGCGTGAGGTCCCCCATGTGGGTGCCCAGGCAGGAGGGGTCCCGGCGGGGCCAAGTCCACGTTCACACTGACAAATTCCCCCAGATACCCCCTTTTCATTTTCTACTTTTATGGAGACCTTGAAAGTGGTAGGAAGAGTCCTGAGCCAAGAGGCCCAGGGCTCCCCCGGCCTCTACCCCAAACCTCCCTGGCCCAGATGGACAATGAAGGGTTGAAGAGGATGGTCTGCCAGACCCTTTCCTCTGGGACATTCTGTGAGCTGTGATCAGGCACCTTCCTACCTCTATCTGCCCCTCCCGCCCTGGCTGGCCTCCCAGGCCAGGGAACAAGTGTCTTCCCTGAGAGGAGATTTGGAGCCCTTCCCTTGTCTTTTACATTCCTGATGTTCAGCGTGGGGGCTGCAGCTCCTGGCTGAGCTGGTTTATAAGGAATGAAGTTCCTGTGTCCCCATGTCTTGTGCCCCATGAGCAGTGCAGCCCTGGATCTCGTTTTCTGCAGATCTTTGCTTTCAGGTGACCTTTCGCCCGTTACTCCCGCAAAAAGCCACTCGGAGGTAGTTGCCGAGGCAACTTAACTCTAAATGAATAGGATGTGGGGTGACCACTCCAAATCTTTTTTGGAGCAAAGGAGAGAGAGGAACACAAACCAGTGGGTGGTTCTAGTGTGTGTGGGGGTCACCCCAGTGGCTGACGCTGGCCCCACTTCCTCTCCCCGCAGTGGGCCCCCCCTTCGGGAGCGTGCTCTACGAGTTTGTGGGGAAGACCGCTCCCTTCCTGGTGCTGGCTGCCTTGGTGCTCTTGGATGGAGGTGGGTGAGTGCACGTGGGCACCTTGCCGTGACCTTGCCAACTGTGACGGCACGTGCTTGGGGCCACGCCTGCTTTCTGAAAAGGGAATTCTCTCTCTTTTTTGTAGCTATTCAGCTCTTTGTGCTCCAGCCTTCCCGGGTGCAGCCAGAGGTAAGCAGCTGGGCAACGAGCGCCCTGCGGGGGCCATGGCGACCTTCTCACCCCTGTTTTCTCTTGACAGAGTCAGAAGGGGACATCCCTTGTCACCCTGATGAAGGACCCCTACATCCTCATCGCCGCAGGTGGGGCTCTGCCGTCCTCTCGGTTGGGGGGTGTGGAGGTGGGGTGGGTGGCCTGGGCCGGTTTTCACTTTGCTGCTGAAGGCACAGCGGTTATACGTCACAGGGAGTGGTTTTCTTCCACCGTTGATTTCTGACCCTCAGCCAAGGTGCTTTTCAGTTTCCACCTGGGGCAAATAAAAACGGCATATGCCAGCTCTGCAGAGTCGTCTGGATCCTGGGGGTGCCCTGCTGCAGGGCTTTGTTTTGAGCCAAACTTGCTCACTGAGCTTGTGTCGAAGGCCATCGCTTGGCCTTGAACTTTCCAGAAGGAATCTGCGGCCTCACGGCAGCGGCCTTAGGTGGGCAGTCTGACTCAGCTTGGCATGTATGAATGGGGACTGACAGCAGAGCCCCCTGGGGCCAGGAGGGGCCCCACTCCCTGTGAGGAGCAGGGAGGTTCTGGGAAACACCCTTTGGCTAAAGATCCTGCCTTTGGATTCTTGGTCTGGATGGCCTAAAAGAGAGCCCTGGGGTTCGGTTCTATGGCTCTTGGGAAGGATAATGGGCTGCATTCATCTAAGGCACTGTCCCCAAGACTGCCCCGGTGGCAGCAGCCACCTGCCCTGCTCAGCCTGGAGCTGCCTGAGCAGGGACCAGCCTGTGCAGGTGCTGCCAGTCCTGAGTCCGGAGGGCAGCAGTGGCCCTTGGGATCAGGCCAGGAGGGCCTGGCCGTGTGCTGATGTAGGTCTCTGGGGCAGCCTGTAGTGTAGCCTCGGACCCAGTTATGGTTAGATTGGTCTAAGGAGATCTCACCAACGCTGATAGGGCTGGTGGGTTGTGGCTGGGAGAACTGGGCATGCCCTGCCTAAGGGTATTTAAGTTCGACCTTGGTCAAACTCCAGGCTGCTGCTGGATTTGCTCAGGGCGGCACATACGTAACCCTGGCCAAGACCCTGTCTATCATGCCTGTTGGCCAGAAAAGCACGAAGCTGGTGTGGTAACCTTTTCATGCAGGATTCTGGGAGCATCCAAGAGCTCAGGTGCCCGTGGGGCCCTGGCTCTCCGACGTGGGCATTGGCAGGGATGGGGCTCCAGAGATGTGACTCCCTGAACCTTGGGCAGGGCTGTGCAGCCTGGGCCGCTCCTGTTTGAGCTTTTGGAACCTCACTATGTAGCCCTCCTTGTGGAAGGAGATGCTAATGCAGAGATCTGCCCAACAGCTGTCAGAATATCTGACGATTTCAGGCAGCCTCGACAGGGGAGGGAGTTGAGTGGGTGGGAGGAGTCCAATCATTTACATGTTCTGCCTTTAAATGTCACGTAGAATGAAAACACCTTTCTTCATTACGTGGGTACCTTCATCACGATTGCACAACGTTTCTTTGAATTTGTTCTAGCAAATTACAGGTTCCATAGGGCACGAACACAGGAAGTTCCCAGAACGATGGAGAATAGTTCCGTGGGTCTTTCTCCAGGTGGTTCTATATTTACAAAGGGTTCTGGTTTAACACAGCGATAATGAATATTTGCACTGATACTCTGTATGTAGAACTGACTGAAAAAAATTCCCTTAACAACGCACGTGTACCGAATGCATGGTGATCCTTCCCGGATTTTCTGGCGTCTCGGGATCGTTAGAGATATCCGTGTTCACTGCACAACAAAGCACAGAGCTGACAGCCTCGGGTGGCCCTGAGACTGTGTGGGATCTGGAAGTTGCCTGGCTGCGGGGTGGCCTCAAACCTGTGACTTCATTAATAATTGGGGCTCCCTTTCTTCATTAATAAACTGGGTAACTTAAACCAGATGATTTCTAAGGCTCCCTCCAGTTTCAAACTTTATGACTTTTGGATTCTAGTTTAAACTAGTAATAATAATAAAGCAACCTTGCCATCCCCTTGACTAGCTATTTATCCTTTGTGTGTGGAGGTAGAAGTTCTGGATGTCTGCGCTGTGGGCAGGTGGGTATGATCTTGTTGGGGTACGCGAGGGAGCAGACGTGCGCTAACCCTCTCCCTCCCCTAAGGCTCCATCTGCTTTGCGAACATGGGGATCGCCATGCTCGAGCCGGCCCTGCCCATCTGGATGATGGAGACCATGTGTTCCCGAAAGTGGCAGCTCGGTAAGCACTGGGGCGGGCTCTTCCGGTTTGAGACCTTGTGTCCCCAGGGCAGGTCCTGTCAGTGTCGCTGAGCTGCCCATGCTGGGTGATACAGCAATTGCTGCTGTTTGACTCTTAATGGATCATGGCTTAGGGCAGCCTCGGGGTCTGTTTCGGCTCCGGTTTTTCTATTAGTCCTGATGGATGCAGAATTAACATAGACACATCAGATCTGGGCAGAAATGGGAGAGGAAAAATACAGTCAGCGTCTTCCCATGTTTCTGAACAGGATTAACTGGACAGCAGTAAAACTTACATGAAAGAAACTAACAAAAAACTGTGAGTTGTTAAGAGGATGAATTTTTAAAAGTGTTTTTGATTTAGAGAAGTAATAAATACATGCTTATTATGAAAAAACAAAGTGTGTGCTGATTGAAGAAGTAAAAATCTAAAAATCTCATGTTCATCTTTCCCCATCCCAGTCCCCCCCCCGTGATATTCACTGTTAACAGTTTTGTCTTTTTCCAGATAGTTCTGTATTTATCATCATGTGTATAAAATGCATAAAAATCCAACCAAGTGGAATTTTGCTGTTCACATCACTATATGACCTCTCTTGTTTTTTCCTTCATGCACTATTGTGGCCGTGTTTCCATGGCAGAACATGTAGATTTACTTTTCAAAATTCATTAAATTTTAATTTTTGTCAAAGTGACACATGTACACATAATTTTAAGTCAAAGTTCGGAGAATTATAGTGAAAAACAGCTGTCTTGCCCCATGACTCCTAATTGCCATAGCCCTTGTCAGATTTAATCACCTTCAACTCTTTTAGTTTCTTCTGGAATCTTTGTCTCTAAATAATAGACATTGTCTGACATTGTCCGCCAGCTTCCTAATACAGCAGGTGGGATTTAATGCCATGCTACTCCACCTGAAAATACCAAGCAACCAACTTGCTCATTTTCTCGCCTTCTGCTCTCCTCAAATAATTGCATTGCATTTTTTTCTTAGATCGGCATTGGTTTTATTGTGACTGTGTAAATGTGTCTAAAGCTGACCTGTGTAGGGAACTGTGATTAATTTCTTTTTGCAAACATATTTTTCCTGGAGTTAGTCATTGCCTTGTGTTTTCATTTTTAATACATCCACCAAAGTCTCCGGCAGAGATGAAAGGTCCTCCGCCTGGGGTCAAGTGTGCTGGCAAACCTGACCTTTCTGTGTTTTTGCTCCTTTGCGGACATCTGTCCTAGATCTCTGGCCGAGATCTGTTGCTCTCTAGGACATGCTGGGGTTTTCCTGCCCCAGCACCTGGGCATCTGCCTGGCCTCTCCTGAGTTGCCCGTTTCCTTCTCTCCTGTGCTCTGCGCTCGGTTTACTACCTGGCGAGGACGGAGCTCGTCCTCCAGCAGCTTCCTGGAAGAGGGCGTGCGCAGCTGACGTTCCCCAAGACACTGCGAGTTTGCCAACGTCTTCACCCTCTCCTTACACCCGGTTGACCTAGGCCGCGTGCATGATTCTTGGTTGGAAGTCGTTTTCCTTCAGAGTTTTGAGTTTGGTTCTGTTGTCCTCTGGCATCCAGGGTGGCTGGGAGGAGGCCGGTGGTGTTCTCGTTCCCGATCCTCTGGGGGAGTCCAGGAGACCTTGTCTTCCTGCCTAGCTAGCGATTGTCCACCATGGCGATTCGCGCTGGGGTCTGCTGCGCCGGCCACCAGCTTGGTCCACCTTTTCACCTATGGACCCCCTCTTTCAGTTCTGGGGAGGCGTTTTAGTACTTTCATTCTCACCATCGTTTTCTCTCTTTTACTCCAGCTGGCTGCATGTCAGACCTCTACATTTTATTCCAGTAATTTGGTATCCTGTTCTTCCTTTTTTCCATTGATTTATTCCTTTTCAGCTTTTAAAAATCATGTACTGAATTTTTAAAATTGGTGCTATTCGTATCTTAAATTTAAAGAGCCCTTTTGTGTGTACCCCGAGTGTTTTGTTTTTTTGTGATGTTGCTGAAATAACATTCTCTCTGTTTCTGTGGGAAGACTCTCATTGGATCTCTGTTTTGGCCTCTCATGTTGCCCCTGGTTTCCATGCTACCTGGGGTCCCCCTGGTCCCCAAACCATGCTGGTGTAGTTTCTCGAGAGAAGCTGTCTCCTGCCAGGGTGAGGGCTGAGTGCTGGGGGTTCCAACTGTTCTCAGAACAGCCTTTCAACCCTATTGGTGGCCTCAGCCCTCGGTTCTGCCTTCATGGTTCCTGGACCTTCATTTCCTGAACTTCCTGGGTTATGAGGCGCAAAAGGGTCTCACTGCTGCTTGCCTCTCCACGTGCAGGTGGGAGGTTCTGTTCTCTGCTGTGTCCATCACTGTTCTCCCTCAGTTTCTCCCTCTTACTGCATTTTCTCCTGTCCCATTTTGTCTGTCCTTAAGCCAGTGTTGGGGGGGCGGATAGGGGGTGACATTCTTTACATTTAAATGGAGTTTGGGGTGGGAGTGGAGAAAAATCTACGGATTCAGTCTGCCTTGTTTAACTGGAAGCCCATCATTATTTTAATGGTTGCATATTGTTTTATTTTAAGGTCATATCAAAAATTTTCAATCCCTATTGGTGGGCATTTGAGTTAGTTCCAGTTTTTGCCATTAGAGACCATAATGCAGAGTATGTTTATATGCATTCCCGTGCACGTTTGGAAATATATCTGTACGACACTTTCCTATGAGTTGATGGGTGTTTTACTGTTTGGTAGCTATTGCACGAACACAGGTAATGTCAATCTTTCAGTCTTTCCCAAGAGAATGTGTAAGAAACTGGGTCTCAGTTTATTTTCCCAAATCCTTTAGGAGTGAAACTGAGCATCTCCTCACATACTTTCTAGACCTGTGTATTTCCTTTACTGTGAATTTCTTATTAATTTGAGCATTTTTCTGTGGAGTTGTCTGTCCTTATTGATTTTAAGTGTTCTTTGTGTATTAAGATACTAATCCTTTATGAGGTGTTTTGCAGCTGTTGCCCTCACTTTGCTGTATGTCTTTTGACTTTATGCTGTGTGTCTTTTAAAATGCCACCAGTCAGGTTTAGCTGTCTTTCCTTTTATGCCATTGTCATGTCAAGTCTAGCTCAGGCCTTTCCCATAAGAAGATTATTTTTTATTTATTTATTTTTTTTTTTGTTTAGACATTTTTGCCAAAGAAAAGAAGATTATTTTTTAAATCACTTATGCTTTGCTCTAATACTTTTATGATTTTTTTACATTACCATCTTGGATTTGTAAGGAACTTACTTGGTTATAAGGCATGGAGTGTAGGGATCTAGTTCCCTGTATGGCCAGCTGTCCTGGGACCATCTCTCTAAGTACTGCGTTGGGTTTTTCCATCTCTGTCACTTTCTAATTGACCATGAGTTCTCGGATCTTGTCCTGGATTCTCTCTTTAGTCCTTTGATCCACTTTCTGTTCCCGTGTCGTCTCCCCACCTCATTTAAGTACTGTAGCTTTAGAAATGCTGTTGTGTATCTGGAAGGCCAGTCCCCATACACATGCCTTTTTCTTTACAAATTTATCAGTGATCCTTCCTAGAGACTTCTTTCTTCTTTCCTTTTTTTTTTTAATTTTAATTTATTTTTTGATTTAAAAATATATTTTTTTTAGAGATGAGGTCTCACTATGTTGTCCAGGCTGGTCTTGAACTCCTGGCCTCAAGCGATTCTCCCACCTCGGCCTCCCAAAACACTGGGATTACAGGCATGAGTCACTGCATCCAGCCCTTATTTTCTTTTCATAATTCTTTCAATTTGTGTAGGTATCTTCAGGTGGAGACTCTTAGTTCTGAATCAAGGCAACATTTTCAATGTCCCCAACCTGTCTTCAGGTGACCTTATTCCTCAGACATCCAGCCCTCCGGGGGTGGGGGGGTGGGGAGGGGGTTGTCTTGCCAGACGCTGCCTCCTGGATTAGACTTTGCTCCGTTCTTCCTGCCTCACTGTGGTTGGCCTGGCCTGGCCCGAGTACCAGTCCCTTTGAGTTCCATAGTGAATTGCTGTCGTCTTTTATCAAATAGTCCTTAAAAAGCCCCAAATGGCTGAGAAGAGGGGGTGACGTGGGGTGGGTGACTGCTGTTGGGTGTGAGGTTTCCATTGGAGGTGACAATGTTTTGGTATCAGATAGTGGTGACGGTTGCACAACCTTGAGAATGTACCAAAAGCCACCACGCTGTACATTGTGAAAGGGTGAATTTGACAGGATGTGAATTGTGTCATAAAACAAAACCAAGAACAGGCCCCAGATAATAACAGTTGTCCAGTAAAGGAGGAAAGAGTCTTGGAGCTAAGCTAAGGATAGTTTTTAGGCAGAAAATTTAGCTCTGAACTTCCTGGCAGTTGAGACAGAACGGGACACCTAGAGACCCTCGGGGCCCCTGATGCGAATGCAGGCTCACTCTGCCGCAGGGTGGGCTTTGTTCTGACGCTGGGTTAGCAGACCGCAGTTTGGGGCCAGGTGAGAGAACATTCTCCAGTCTTACCACTGACACCTGCTGCTGGCAGGTGGCAAGTTGTTTTCTGGCTTTTCTTTCCTTTTTCTGATCCTTGCAGAAACCTGGGTCTCCAGGGCTATTCCAGAGCCGTCTCTGCCCGGGCGGGGCGTGCCCTGCGAGGCCAGGCTCTGCGTGGGCTCTGCACGCACTCTGCACGTGCTCTTGTCCTCATTGAATGTGTCCTGGGTGGTGCGGGGCACTTGATGCTGTTTTCTCTCATCTCCAGACAGAGCCCAGAGGCTTTCTTTATAAAGTCTGTAAGGGCAGCCAGAAGCCCTGGGCTGCGTGGGTCGGAGAGCGGAGTGCAGGCTGCCTGGATGTCACTGGGCCATCTGGGGGCTTATCACCTGCTTATCACCAGATGTTCACCCGACCAGCTCACTGCGTTGCCACCACGGAGGTTCTTCCTTCTGTCTGCCTCGGACATAGACATGTCTGTCTTTGGGAGTGTCAGATTTCAGTACCTGTTTCCTCTGTTAGCTCCAGTGTGCGGGAAATG